AACTTCCCATAAGAAAAAGTCCTGGCCCTGATGGCTTCACTAGAAAATTTTACCAAACATTCAGGGAAGAATTGACACCAATACTACTCAAGCTATTCCAGAACATAGAAAAAGATGGAATACTTCCAAACTCATTTTATGAAGCAAGCATAACACTGATACCAAAACCAGGGAAAGACACCACAAAAAAGGAAAACTACAGACCAATATCCCTTATGAATATAGATGCAAAAATCTTCAGCAAAATCCTAGTCAACAGAATCCAACAACACATCAAAAAAATAATATATCCTAACCAAGTGGGATTCATACCTGGTATGCAAGGATGGTTCAACATCAGAAAAACAATCAGTGTAATCCACCACATAAACAAAACAAACAAAAGAATCATATGATCATATCAATCAATTCAGAAAAGGCATTTGATAAAAAACAACACCTGTTCCTGTTCAGAAGTCTCAGCAAAATAGGTATAGAAGGGAAATTCCTCAACATAATAAAGAGCATATATTGAAAGCCAGCGACCAACATTATTGTTAACAGAGAAAGACTCAAAGCAATCCCCTTATGATAAGGAACCAGATAAGGATGCCCTCTATCACCACTTCTATTTAACATTGTATTGGAAGTCCTAGCCAGGCCAATAAGGCAAGAAAGAGAAATAAAAGGCATCCAAATTGGCAAAGAGGAAGTAAAGCTATCTCTACTTGCAGATGACATGATTCTATACATAGAAAACCCAAGAGACTTAGCAGAAAAACTTCTGGAACTATAGAGAAGTTCAGCAAAGTATCAGGATACAAGGTTAACATACAAAAATCAGTTGGATTCCTCTACACCAACAAAGAGACCTCTGAAAAATAAATAAGGGAAACAATACCATTTACAATAGCTACGAAAAAGATAAAATGTCTAGGAATAAATCTTACCAGAGACAGAAAAGACCTATACAAAGAAAACTATAAAGCACTAGAAACTACAAGGGATCTACATAAATGGAAGAACCTGCCTTATTCATGGATAGGAAGAATGAATATCATGGAAATGTCAATACTACCCAAAGCAATCTACACATTTAATACAATCCCGATCCAGATACCAACAACTTTTTTTAAGGATATGGAAAAACCAATTACTAACTTCATATGGAAAGGAAAGAGACCTTGGATAGGCAGAGTAGTACTGAAGAAGAACAACAAAGTGGGAGGCCTCACACTCCCAGATTTCAAAACCTACTATACAGCCACAGTAGTCAAAACTGCCTGGTATTTGTACAGTGATAGGCAGAATTGAAAACCCAGAAACAGACCCAGCCATCTATGGATGGCTGATCTTTGACAAAAGAGCAAATCCCATTAAATGGGGAAGAGACAGCCTCTTTAACAAATAGTGCTGGCAAAATTGGATATCCACCTGCAGAAAAATGAAACAAGACCCATACCTCACTCATACACAAAAACAAACTCAAGTTGGATCCAAGATTTAAATGTAAAACCCAAAACTATAAAGTTCATCAAACATAAAATAGGGGCAAATCTAGGGTCCCTAATTTATGGCATAAATAGACTATCAAGCATAACCAGAATGCACAGGAAGTAGAAGAGAAGCTGGATGACTGGAATCTTTTAAAAATTAAATTCTTATGCATGTTGAAAGACTTCTCCAAAAGGGTAAAAAGAGAACCTACAGACTGGAAGAAAATATTTGCCTATGGCATATCTGGGGAGCTCTTGTGGTGCAGTGCCTAAGACATTTGACTGTTAACCAGAAGGCTGGTGGTTCAAACCCACAAGCCACTCCTCAGAAAGAAGATTGGGCAATCTACTTCTATAGAGATAACCACCTCCGAAACCCAAGGAGGGGTCACTGAGTCAGATACCGACTTGATGGCAGTGAATTTTTGTCGTTGTTGTTGTTGATGACATATCTGACAAAGGACTTATCTCCAAAATTTATGGAAAACTTCAACACCTCAATGCCAAAAAGACAAACAATTCAGTTCAAAAATGGGCAAGGGACATGAACAGACACTTCACTAAAAATGATATGCTGGTGGCCAACAAACACAGGAGGAATTGCCCACAATCATTAGCCATTAGAGAGAGAAAAATCAAAACAACAATGAGATATCATTCCATCCCAGCAATAATAGCAAAGTTCAACAGGACAGAAAATAACAAATGCTGGCCAGGTTGCGGAGAGATTGGAACTCTCATACACTGCTTGTGGGACAGTAAAATGGTACAATTGTTGTGGAAAATGGTATAGCATTTCCATAAAAAACTGAAAATAGAAATACTATTTGAACCAGCAATTCCATTACTAGGAATATATCCTAAAGAGGTGAGAGACAGGACATGAGCAGACAGATGCACACCCATGTTCATCGCAGCACAATTCATTATAGCAAAGAGATGGAAACAACCTCAATGCCCTTTAACAGATGAATGGATAACCAAATTATGGTACATTCATACAATGGAATACTACTATGCTACATTAAAGAACAATGAAGAATACGCAGATCATTTCACAATATGGATGAACCCCAAGGACATTATGCTGAGTGAAATAAGTCAATTGTAGAAGCACAAATATTGTATGAACCCATTACTGTAGAAATTCAAGGAAGAGTTTGCTGAGGGAAGCGAATTCACTTTGTCGGTTACCGGGGATGGGAGGAAAGAAGAGGGGCAAATTTCAGACTAGTTGGGGAACACATGCTGAGTTGGGTAAGGGGAGGGATGGTATGGAAAGAATCTGTGACCAACATGATAACATTGGGGAAAGAGAGGACACTGAATTGTGCATGTGAGTTACAGATGACAGAGGCTAATACCAGTATATCCACAATACTGCATTACCATTAACCAAACACCAGGCAATAGGTAAATACATAGACAACTGAGATCAGATTGGGGACAGTGAACAAGAATATACTCTAGACCAATGATAGATTCAGCTGAGGCTAATCTTGCACAGATACTAGTGATTATAAAATAACCACAATCATTACAGAAGCAACAGAAGACATAGAGCAATCCCTCATACACAGCCAGACACCATGGGAAAGAGATCCACTGGATCTGCTGACTCAGGACCATAGTTTTGGGGGACACCAGGCTCAATTGGCATGACAAAATACATAAAATTTTGTTCCATAACCTACTTTGGTGAGTCGTGACTGGGGTCTTAAAAGCTTTTAAGCAGCCATCTAAGACACAGCTAATGGTCAGTCTCCTATCATTGGAAGTGAAGAAGAGTGAAGAAAACCAAGGCCATTTGGAAACATTCAGCCTTGGATATGATGGACCTCAAGACCAGAAGAACTAGATGGTGCCCAGCTACCAATGCCAACCACTTGGGAAGGGATCAAAACTGGAGATCCTGGATAGAGTGGGAGGAAAAATGTGGAACAAAATTAAAAAATACAATAATGACCAGAATTACTGGTCAGATGGAGTCTGGTAGGACCCCCAAGACTATGGCCCTGGGATACACTTCAAGCCTGGAATAAAACTCACTTCCAAGGGCTGGCTCTCAGCCCAACAGTCATAAGATTGAACACTCAACCCAGGGCGATTCACCCACCTACTCTACGGAGATACATCCCTTGGTGCAATTGTCCATGGAGAACCAGAGGGGCAACATTCACATGGAGGAAAAACTGGACAGACAGGAGTGCATAACTAAGAAGGGCACAGCAATGGGGGGGGGGTGATCATTGAGAAGGGAGAGGAGGAGAGTGGGTTAGAGTTGGGGATGGTAATTGGGCATGAAACCAAATGTACATGAACTATTGAATGTAAAATAAATTCTGCTCTGTAAATTTGCACCTAAAGCACAATTTAAAAAAAAAATAATAATAAAAATAAAACCATGTAGCTTCAAAGAATATTTTTAAATCCATCTTCCATATAAGCAATTTGATAGACATTTGTTGATTCAATTAACATAGGATTTAATAATTACCTTGGAGTTTAGAGAAGCTGAACGTTTTTTAATTTGGCAGTCATCTGAAGGGAAAAATAATATATGTTACAAATTACATATGTAATCTGTGTTAAAGGCATGGTCTTAATTCTTTAGGGTAAAAATGCAATAGAAAAGTCTTATTTAAGACCCTAGAGACTACTGAACAATGTAAAATCTGCTTAATATTTATTTGGTGATTCATAATTATTACCATTACATAGCCATGGAAAAACAATACCCTATATTGCTGTAGATGTCCACCATGCCCACCTAGTAATTAAAAAAAAAAAAATCTGTTACCATCAAGTTGACTCCAACTCATAATGACCCTGTAGGACAGATTAGAACTGCCCCATAGGGTTTCCAAGGCTGTAAATCTTCACAGAAGCAGACTACCACATCTTTCTCCTGTGGAGCAGCTGGTAGTTTTGAATCACTGACTTTTCAGTCAGCAGCCAAGTGCCTAACCACCTTACCACCAAGACTCCTTTTACTTAGCATATAGTACACACTAAATTATGTCTGCTGAATTAATGAACCCCAAAATGCATATCAGAAGAGTACTAAAAAGAGTTACTTTTCTAGAAGATGGAAAAGTTCATTAAAGTAGGAATTCTGCTAGAAAAAATTCATACTATTTATTTAACATAAAATTACTGTAAGATTTTTGTAAGCCTTATTATGATAAAATGTCTTCCATGGTCTCATAATGTCTCCTTGTTTTTCAATCCATTCCATTTACTGTGGTGAGGATCATCCTTGCTTTGAGGAATATAAAACCATAGTTTACGAGAATGGTTTATTCAAGTTATTCTGCCTTACTTTACCACCACTAGTCTGTCAGTTTGTCATACTGTGGTGGCTTGTGTGATGCTGTGAGTTGGAGGCCAGCAGGGTATTTGACAGGTTTTAGTGGAGCTTCTAGACTAAGACAGATGAGGAAAAAGGACAGAACCATCCACATCTGAAAAATTGGCCAGTGAAAACATGAATAGTAGTGAAACACTTTCTGATATATTACTGGAAAACTTTATGGAGAGCCAGGAAACATTGTCTTATATGGTGCCAGAAAATGAGCCCCTCAGGTGGGAAGGCACTCAAAAAGTTGTCTCTTCAAAGCCGATTTAATGACATGGATGGAGTAAAGCTTTTGGGACCTTCATTTGCTGATGGGGCATGACTCAAAATAGGAAGAAACAGCTACAAATATCCATTAATAATAAGAACATGGAATGTATGAAGTATGAATCTAGGAAAATTAGAAGTTGTCAAAAATGAAATGGAACACATAAAGATAGATGTCCTAGGCATTAGTGAGATGAAATGGACTGGTATCAGACATTTTGAGTCAGATGGTGTACTGTGTCAGGAATGACAAATTAAAGAGGAATGGCATCACATTTATCCTCAAAAAGAACATTTCAAGATCTATCCTGAAGTACAATGCTGTCAGTGATAGGATAATATACACATGTCTATAAAGACAACCAATTAATATGACTGTTATTCAAATTTACACACCAATAACCAAAGAAAAAGAAATTGAAGATTTTTATAAACTTCTGAAGTCTGAAATTCATCAAACATGCAATCAAGATGTATTGATAATTACTGATGATTGGAATGTGAAAGTTAGAAACAAGGAAGAAGCATCGGTAGTTAGAAAATATGGCCTTGGTGATATATATAATGCCAGAGATAGCATGATAGAATTTTGCAAGACCAATGATTTATTCACTGCAAATACCTTTTGTCAACAACATAAACAGCCACTGTACATATGGATCTTGCCAGTTGGAATACATAGAAATCAAACTGACTACATTCATAGAAAGAGGCAGTGGAGAAGCTCTATATCATTAGTCAAAACAAGCCTAGGGGATGACTGTGGAACACACCATCAATTACTAAAATGCAAGTTCAAGTTGAAGCTGAGTAAATTAAAAACAAGTCCACAAGAGCCAAATGCTCCTTAGAAATGAGAATGGCCAGAATTCCTCTCCCCTATTCTGGTCATGCTATCAGAAGGGACTAGTCCCTGCAGAAGGATATTATGCTTGGTAAAGTGGGAGGTCAGAGAAAAAGGGGAAGACCCTCAACCAGATTGACACAGTGGCTGCAACAATGGACTCAAGGATTGTGAGGATGGTGCAAGAGCAGCCAGTGTTTTGTTCTGTTATCTATGGCATCACTATGAGTCAGAATTGATGCCAAAGCACTTAACACCAACAGCAACCTCACCTTATTTGTGGAGGAAAAACTAATCCTAACATATCCTAAACTGAGTGACACTAGGGTCAACTTAGGTTCCTGGGTGGCACAAATGGCTCGTTCTTGGCTACCAACCAAAAGGTTGGTGGTTCAAACTCACCCAATAGCATCTTTATGAAAAGGCCTGGTGATCTGCTTCCATAATGATTAAAGCCAAAAAACAAAAATGAAACCTATGGAGCTCAGTTCTACTCTGTAACATCTGAAATCACTATGAGTGTGAATCCACTAAATGGCAACAAGAGGGTCAACTCAATGGACAGGATTAACTGTATTCTCTCATTTCAGCAGTCTAAGTTAATTTAATGCATTTTTGTTGTTATTACCAATAAATCCTTATTGTCTCCCAACCTGTTTCTGACATCTTACTTTTTGGTTATATAAATAATACAAATGGGTTATTCTTCCAAAATAACCTTAAAGCATGGTTCATATACTAAAGACATAATAAGGTTTAAAAAGAGAGAAAATGAAAGAAGAGTAGGTTAGAAAATCTTAACTGATACTGTTATCTTAAACTTTTATCTATTACCTTCATCTCCAAGAGGGCTAAAAGATCTTTCATTCTGCAAAAGAACCTGTTTCAGTTCTTCTAATTCAGCATGCTCTTTGGCATACATTCTCTTCAAGTTTTCTACGTGTTGAATCATCACTTCCACTGCTTTACTAACCCTGCTTTCCTGGTAGGAGGAAAAAGGGGGAAAAAAAAAAACAACCATGGAAAATACTATTCTCAATATGCAGTTAAAAATATTGATTAAACACATGCATTTACCATAACTCCATTCCCAAATCCCACTAAAATGACAATTAATGGTATTTTAAAGAATTGGTAAGTCTGCAGGTACAAATAGAACAGTAGAGAATATAAAAGCAACATCATTTTGAAAGCTGGATAGTAGAAGGACTAATGATAAATGACTCAGAAGACCTGAAAACCCTGAACCCTGGAAATGACAGTAAGGACAGCCTATAGAAATAAATTGGCCTGCAGCACAGAAAACTCAAGGCTCAAGAACTGGCATAAGCACCTCTAGAAATAAGCTTGAAAGTGGGTATGTGAGTAGACAACTGATGGAAAGTCTGTGTAAAAAGCAATTAGATCCATAGATCTCCTCCCTTACACTGCTCTCTAGCAGAACAACTACCCGTCCACCATGTTGGTGAAAGACTATGAAGTTTGAATCTTGAGGAAGAGTTAAACAGTGGGTCTGTAGACTGAGAAATACCAGAGAGTTGGTGGTGAATGTACCATAATGAAAACAGATTTAAATAAAAATCTGCATATATTCTAAATATTGAGATCTCCCAAACTTACTCCTCCTTCCAGCTCCCAAATACTGGCATCTAGGCTATATTCTCAAGGTAGGCACTGGGAAGATTTTCCCTGGTGAATCTAATATCCCAAGATAAAAATCATAATAGTTACTTTAAGTATATCTCAATGGGACATCTTAGCCCAGAGTCAAAAACTTGTCCCAGCCATTACAGAGAGAGCTCCCAATCAGCTGGATAATGTATCATCAGACAATGGAGGAAAGTCTCTAGCATGAAAGATAGAGACCAAAATACATAAAGAAGCAAACTGGAGGAAATAGGCTGCAGAAAGACTAAAACTTCAAGAAAACTATCATATCAGGGAATTAGAAGTAATTATTGCATTTATGAAATACGAAAAGGTGTTATTAAAAAGGAGCATTCAGAGGACACAAAAATAGCTTCTGGAAATTAAAAACATTTTAAAAAAAAAGAAAAAAAATTCAATAGAAGAATTTCAAGATAAAGTTGAAGAAATCTCCTTGAAACTAGAGCAAAGTCTATGAAGTACAAAAGACGGAATATTAACTCAGGAGATAAAATATTCACATAATGGGAATTTCAGAAATTATAGAAAATACAGAAAAATACCAGAAAATATAGAAAAAGAAATAGGAAAACTTCCAAACTGAAGGATATAACTTGCCAGCTTTAAAAGCCTCAAAAAAAAAAACCTAAAAACCAAACCCACTTCCATCAAGTCAGTTCTGACTCATAGCAAGCCCCTTTGGTTTCCAAGGTGGTAAATCTTTATGGAAGTAGATTACCCCATCTTCCTTCCATGGAGCACCTGGTGGGTTTGAACCGGCAACCTCTACTTAGCAGTCAAATGCCTTAGGCACCACACCACCAGAGCTCCTTACTCAGGGCCTAAAACAGTATATGAAAATAAACCCCATAGCAAGGGAAGGTAATAAGGGAAAGAAGTTATATTGAAAGTTTCTGGGAAGTAAAAAGAGATTATAAACAAAGAGTTAAATAGCATCAAATTTCAGAAGCAATATCAAAAGCTAACATAGAAAAATGAAGCAATGCAATGAAAATTCTAAGAGATATGACCTCTAATCTAGAATCCTTCACCCAGACAGAATATCAATTAAGCATGAAGATAGAGTAAATATATTTCCAGTCATGCAACATCTCAAAAAGTTTGCTTCCTACATATCCTTTTTATTTATTTATTTTTTCTCAGGAAAGTGCCCTAGGTAAAATGCTCCAACAAAATAAAGGAAAAAACCAGCAAAGAGAAGTACATAGGATCCAGAAAATGGATCAACTAAAGAGAAGAGTGAAAGAAATCTCCATTTAAAAGAGTTCCTAAGACTTACAAGGAACCTAAAGAACAACCAGTCTCGACTGGCACAGGTCAGAAGTCCCTAGAAGCAATATCTCAAAGATGAAACTGACAAAATACCTAATGAGTTTGAATGTATTGGGAGAACTAGAGTCTAGGAAAGTTTGGAATGAGTGGGTGATAATAGGAAACCAAGAAAATAACAACAAAAAAGAAAAATCATTAACTTCAGAAAGAGCATAAATCTGCACAAAGAAGGACAAGTCATCATATTTACTCACTCATTAACAGATATTTATTGAGCACCTGCTATGGATTAGGCAAATTCTAGTCATGGGGGATAGATACAGCAGTGAACCTTATAGACAAATATTTTCCCTTTATGGAGGTTATATTCTAACCTAGAGTAGATAGACAATAAGTCAAATATTAGTAAATAAAATATATTGTATGATAGAAGGTGATTAGTGTTATGAGAAACAAAACAAATAAAAAAAAAAAAAAAAAGGAAAACGGAGAATGAGAAACTCTGGAGTGGGAATACCTGAAATTTTACATAGGCTAGCCAAAGAAGGGATTTCTATGAAGGTAATACTTTTTTTTTTAATACTATGTATATATTTTCATGGTTTTTTCATAAAGTCATAAGATCTATTGCAGGGTTGCAGACCCAGATGGCTAGGGGGCCAGGCTGGGGACTTAAATGGCAGAAGTGAACAGTGAGTATTAGGGTAAGCTAAAGAGAACATGTCCTGACTTATGGGGCAGCTTCCCCTCAGCTCCACCTGAGTGCTGTCATGCAGGAGTCTGACAACTCTGTAGCTAGATATAGTAGCTTTCAAGAGAAATGAGAAAATTCAGAATTTTCATGTAAATATCTCAGTGTTTAAAAACTGGTAATTAATTCACTTTTTAAAAAAACATGTGGGCAGAAAGTTTTAAATAACCAGCCTGTCTGTGGGCACATTGTGGCTTTTGGGATCCCAGTTTGCCACCCCTGATTGGTTGCATCCCTTCATTAGTCACAGACAGTGACCAGAAGATATAAAGCCTCCCAACTGGGAGGAGGGCATGCACATGCTTTTTACCTGGCCAGTGTTTGTTCTGCCTTCTCTATCATGTCATCTCTTCTGTGACCTGGTCCTTAGTCACCTTCCAAAACATGAAAACGACACACTACAGAGAATTCCATTTCATACTGTCGTTCTGCTGGCAACACTGACTGTTAAGTGAACTGGTTGGAATGACCTCCCTGTGTTCCCTGCCACCCCAGGGTATTGGAAACAGCCCTGAGAGAAGCTATTATTCTTGATGGATGCTCCATTGACTGTCCAGCTGGTTTTACTGATGGCTATTATTAAAGGCTTGGGTTCGTAGCTAGAACTGTGGTCTTCAGTATACCAGTAATGAGAGGTTATTTTCTCACTTGGAGCTAGGAATTAAGTTGTCCTTATGTTCCCAGCATATCTGGGTGGTAAGTAGTGAAGATGATACTTGAATAGAACTTGAAGAAAGAATATTCGAGGCAAAGGAAATAGCTATAACTAGAAATCAAAGGTGACACTGTGCCTAATGTGTCTGATGAACATGAAAGATACTACTGTGGCTGGAATAGAATAATCCAGAGAGATAGTCATGGGAAATAAAGTCCAAGAGGTAAGAGGGCAGGGGAATCACGAAGAACCTTTAAACCATTGTGAGGATTTTAGCTTTTACTCTCAGTAAATGGGGTGCCACTGAAGGGCTTCGAGACAAAAAATGTAACATAATTTGATTAAGTTTTGAAAGAATCACTTTGGCTGTTTTATATTGAAAATAGACTCTTTTGGGGAGAAGAGACTAAGAAGGATAGGTTGGAAGCAGGGAGGCCAATTAGGAAGCTGTTGGTTAATCTGGGAGAAATATAATGGTGGCCTGAGTGGTTCAAATCCACCAGCCACTCCCCGGAAGGAAGGTGGGGCAATCTACTTCCATAGTGATACTGCCTCGGAAATCCAAGAGAGGTCGCTATGAGTCGGATCTGACTCTACGGCAATGAGTTTTGTTTGGTTGTTGTTAGATCAAGGTAGATCATGGTAGTAGCAGTGGAGAGGGAAAGTGTGATTGGATTCTGGATATGTTCTGATGGCAGAGCCAACAGGATTTGTTGGTAGGATTTAATGTGGGTATGAAAGAAAGATATTTAGAATTAACCGCAAGGATTTTTGGCCTGAGCAACTAGAAGAATAGAGTTGGCTTTGGAGATTTTGGGTGAAGTCAGTTTTAGAGGGACTATTAATAGTTTAGCTTTGGATATGTTAAGTTTGAGTTGTTTATTAAACATACAGGTGGATGTGGTTGCCAGCCAAACAATGTACAGGCATGTGAGTTAAACATTTACCTCAAGTAGACACATGCCCTAGAGAGAACAATCATGGGAGAAGGAAGGGCTGCTTATGCACAGGGAGACAGCTCAGGGCGCAGGAGAGTACGGAGGGATGGTCACTGGGAAGAGGTAACTATGGGGAGCAAGTGGGAGGGGAGCTGTTGCATTGTGATAAACTGTGGTCAATGACATGAGACAAAGTATATGTGAACTGCTGTATGGAAAGTGAATTTGCTCTGTAATTCTTCACCCGAATAAAAATAAATAAATTAAAAAAAAAAAAACATACAGATGGAAATGTTGAGTAGGCAGTAGTTTACTCTAGTCTGAACATAAGGATAAACATGAATTTGGGAGTATACAGCTAACTGGAGCCATATGTGGATTGAGTGCAGATAGAGACCAGAGGTACAAGGGTAGAGTACTGGAGCCGCACACATTAAAAGATCTAGGGGGAGGGGTTGGGCTTGCAAAGGAGTCTGGAGTGAACTGTCAGTGTCATACAGAGAAAAACCAGGGAATGTTGTTCAGAAGCTGTATTGGTTCTCTAGTCCTGCTATAATAGAAATATCACAAGTGGATGGTTTTAACAAACAGGAATTTATTCTCTTACAGTTTAGAAGGCTGGAAGTCTGAGTTCAAAGTGCTGGCTCTAGGGGCTGGGTGAAGGCCCCTTGACCTTGGGCTTTAGCTCTTCCTCTTGCTCTAGACCCACAAGAGCTGGAGGCTTTTTTCTGACTCACACAGCTGCTGGCTGCCGAGGCTGATGAACCCAAGATGGACAGGTAAAAGGGCACAGCCCCCAAGATTAGCAAGCAACATGGCAGGCCACTAGTTCATGTCCAGAAATAGTCCCAAGATCAAGGCAACATGACAGGCCACTGATGTCTCGGCCAAATGCAGGATTTAGATGTACCAAGAAGCTCAATACCTTCCTCAAACCTTCTCCTTCTATATTGGAAGCAGACCACACCCCAAAGTCTTATCTGCTCACAGCAGATTCTACAGTGGAGTTCATCACCAGTCTCATCAGGAGGAATAACTATATCCAGCTGCCAACCACTCAAACCCACAGCCCAGTCAAGGTGACCTACAACCTTAACTACCACAGAAGCCAAGGGAAGAACTGCTTCCAGATGCAAGAAGAGCTTAGCCATGTCAAAGCAGCAGGTAGGTTAATGAAGTTGAGGACTGAGACACTGGATTTAGTGATGTGGCGGTCATTGTTGACCTTTGTAAAAGTAATTTTGTGGAGGCAAATGGGTAACTAGCTTTGGTTTAGGACAGAATGGACAAGATGGATGGGAGACAGTGAACACAGTTCTTTTGAGGAGTTATGCTATAAACAGGAACTGAGAAGCAGAGTGGTAGCCAGAAGAGAAAAGGCCAACAAAGATTTTTTGTTTGGTTTGTGTTACTTTTTTGCATCTAGAAACAATAGTATGTTTGTATAGAGATGGGAATGATTAAGTAGAGTGGGAAAAACTGAAGGTGTAGTAGAGAGGGTAGGACTGGGGCCCAAATTCCTGAGTAAGTTAGAGGAGATGGGAAGCTCATATACAGGTGGTATGATTGGGCTTTGATAAGATTAGGATAAATCATCTTTAGGAACAAGAAGGGGAAAGCATTTAGGATACATGCAAATGAGCTAAAACTGTATTTGACCATGGAATTTAAGCTTGGCAAGGAAAAAAAGGAGGACAACAGGGTGAGAGACCATGAAAAAGGTACATGGGAGCAGAGATTGATGAAGAATGAAATATCCATCTTTGGATTGGGAAATCAATAGATAATGCCTAAAACTGAAAATAAATTACTATGTGGAGGTGTAAGCATGTTATTTAGAGACACAGATGTAAATACACCCAAAGAAAGAAACAATTCAACAGACAAAAAGAGTTGAAAACAGTTGCTCTGGAGCACAGGAAATGGAATAAGAAGATTTATAGAACTACTTGACTTTTTAAAATTATATATATTTATAATTTTAATAAAAATAAAAACAAATAATGTTATTCTTTAATAATAGGTGAATAGGAATTAGGATTTTAAAAAATGTACAACAAATTATCAAACTAAAACCATCACTATAATTAAACATTTTAAGAAAAATATCATACTTAACAAGTTTATTTAGGTATGCATTTTTAAAAAGTCAACTTTCCACAGACTCATCCATGATGAGCTTTTGAAATTTCACATCTCTATGAATGAATATGCAAAAGTGAATGTATAAGAATACTTATTGTAGCATTGCTTAAATATCAAAATATCAAGAACATCTTAAAATGATCAGCTATAGGGAGCTAGTTGATAAATAATTTTTGATCTATCCAAACAATAAAATGACATGTATATATTTATATCATATAGAAAGTTATCCATGATATATGTTGAATGAAAAAGAAGTATATTATAACTTTGTATGGAGAGAGTAGCCACAATGATGAGCTTGAACATTATGGCTCTAGTGAGAGTGACACAGGCCTGGGTAACATTTCTTTCTGTTGTATATAAAGTTACCATGAGGTGGATTCAACTCAAAGCAGCTATCAATCTATATATCAAGACAGAGTGCCAAAGTGATAAATCATAAAATTTTTATGATGATCATCACTGGATGACAAAGGATTTTTCTTTAAATTTTAATTTTTATATTCAATTTTCTATTTTTCCAATATTAAACATGTATGTCATACAATAATGAAGTACTTTTTAAAACTTCTTCCTACAACTGTAATTCATAAACCCAGAGAAAAAAAATCCTTTTAGTAATTTCATTACATCTAAAGAAACAGAGACAGGTTACCTGATTAATGGCTCCCAGCATCTCGGCCCTGCTGGCCATTCGTACTGTGCACTGGCTAAGGAATGTTATGCTCTTCTCCAGCTTCTTAATGATTTCCTGGGCCTGGTTGTCATCTTCACATAGAGGTGTTAAAGACTGCACACAGAAGAAAGCATTAAAATGTATCTAACTCAAGCAAGTGATTCTAAGACTAAGCTGTAATTGTGGATGTACAGTCAAATCTCATTTACCTTGGAAGATAATAAGCAGCAACAATGAATGATATAAAGTCATGAATGATAGAAAAATATTAATATCCTTGTTGGCTATCTAGTGTATTGGCTATCTATGTATGTGCTCACAAAATCTTTTATGTCTGTTTTTGATCCCTTCCTTCTTTAGTTCCCAAATTTGCCACTGTCTCTTGTGCATTCACATCTTTCCTCTGAGGTTAGTAGTTTATAATATAATTAAGTGGTAATGGTGAAGAGATTATGCTTACAAACAATATATATATAATACGAGGAGTGCAGTTTGAACTTTTGAGAAAAAGAATACAAGTGTACTGGAGTTAGACATGCTGTGATTATTGCACTTGCTCTTCTGCTGATGACAGGGTACAATTGGGCTGGCTAGGTGGGTATCCATTCATTGGCTTATGAATGCTTCTCTCAAATCTGTGCCCTTGATCCAAGATGATAGCCTTCCCTGATAAAGGGCCTTTTTTCTGATTAAGGTAAAGACATAATTAAGAGAACAGCAGTCTGAAGCAAACAAGCCTGGATTCATTTTTGACATGATCACTCTTTAGCTCTGTACCTATCAGCAAATTTCTCAGATTTGTCCAAATCTAAAATGCTCTGGATTGTAAGAGGCACTGTTAATTTGTGTAAAATCAAGAAAGTAAAGATACTACCAATAAAAGCATAAAGCATCATTGACTGCAATTACATCCTAATTCCAGAAATGTTCATGATTCACTGTTTCCTCATCTGTCAGATGAAGGTACTACATCTCCTTTTCAAGAGTACTTGACATTAGAGGTAATAGATGACAAGTGCTTGTCACATGCTAGGTGCTTAATAAATGATGCCTACTTCAGAAACAGAGAGATATGTGTCAGCTGCTGCCTGGGAGTCACTAATCAGTTGGAAAGGCCAGTCAGATACACACTTACCTAAACCAAATGAAATCCACTGCCATCAAATTAATTCCAAATCATAACAACTCTGTAGGACAGAGAACTGTCCCATGGGGTTTTCAAGGCTGTAAATCTTTATGGAAAAAGCATTCTGCCTCTTTTTTCTTCCATGGAGTAGCTGGTGGGTTCGAACTACTGACCGTTTGGTTAGTAGCCAATGCTTTAACCACAGCACCACCAGAGCTCCTCACAGTTTCCTACTGTAGATTAAATAACCATCTCTGGTAGCATAGTGCCTAAGGCCCTTGACTGCTAACCAGAAGGCTGGCGGTTCAAAGCGACCAGCCACTCCTCGGAAGAAAGATTGGGCAATCTACTTCTATAGTGACACTGCCTCGGAAACCCAAGGAGGGGTTGCTATGAGTCAGGTCTGACTCGATGGCAAATAACAATAACAACAGAAGGTAGGAAGGGAAGAGCAGATGTTAGTTGTTAGTGAAATGGAATATGGTTTCTCAGTTTTTATTGTCTTCATCCAAAAGTAGCTTTCTTAATTTTCCAATCCATTTCTACACTTATGATAACTTTACAAGATAGAAGGATTGTAGTAGTTGTTACACTTCTATGAACTCAATGACACAATTCCCTCATTCTTCTCTCACTATCTTGAGGGTTTGCCTACTATCTAACAAGACTGAAATCAGCCACCATTCTCTATTTTCAATTAATCCTAAATGGATTTTTTTATTATCTTCAATGAAGCTTAAAATTGATACTCTCTCTTATTGCCTGGTTTTCTGAATGATTATTCTACTGCCTGGAATTTACTTGAAAATCTATCAAGAAAGCAGATAACTCATATAATCCACTTTGAAAGGCATTTTTTGTTCAATTGCTGATGATCTCTCCTACCAATCAGTTTTTAACTTTAGCCTGATCTTGGTTTCCTACTACAAGCTCTAGTAGCACAATGCCTAAGGCCACCTAGAAGGTTGGTGGCTCAAACCCACAAGCCATCCACAGAAGCAAGACTGGGCAATCTGCTTTCGTAAAGATTTACCACCTGGGAAACCCAGTGGGAGCTGCTATGAATTGGAATCAAGTTGATGGCAGTGCATTTGGTTTCAGTTTTAGATACTTTCTATCAATTCACGTTCGTGTTAGGCAGGACTTGGTACTAGTCATACAAGTAAACATATATGTAATTATGAAAACATTATTAACAATATAACCACAAAGAGTCCCCATATGTTCTGATTCTAACCTCTAATAGCTTTAAACAGTTTGTGGTCTCCTTCTTCAAATTTTCTTCTGCCAAGTCACGGGATCTCTCTTCAAGCTTCACTCTTTTCTCCAAGGTAAACCAGTCACACTTAAATCCCAAAGATAATCTGAGAAATTCGGCCTGTTGTCAAAATAATGTGGGGTGAGGAGAGAAAACTGGATGTGGTCAAATATTTCAATTTAATACCAGATTATCCCGAGACTTTTCTTACTTTCCTAGCAACATAATTCTGACATGCGTTGGCTTTACCTGCACTCATTTGTTGCCAAGCCGAATAGACATCAAATGTATGAGACTGTATGCAAAAGTATGAAGCCACTAAAGGTGGGTCTACAATACTCTTTTAATAAAGAAAAAAAAGTGCTTTAAACTCACCTCTACCTCCTTCTCATTAGCAGAAATGCTGTAGGATAAGATTAAGAATTTAGTTCAAACATATTCCAACAGTAGAGCAAAAAATATTAGCATGCTGTGTGAAGACAAAACTTACTTGTCACTTTGTCTAAAGTTGACTGATTTCACAGTAGTTACAGGAAGAGAGGAAACAGTAGTGTCTATTCAAAGACAATAAAATATTATTTGATTAAAAAGTCTTAACATCTGAAGTCACATTAGATCCAATGTTTTATGTTCTATTCCCACTAAACAAAAGCATTCTGTTGAAATATGTCTAACACCATTGCCAGCTACTAATGTGTTTGCTTATAGTATTTAACATAATGTTACGCCATGCCACTAAGATCATAATGGCATTCAAATCACCCACTCACACATCAACATGTGAGTATTTTTTGAAAGCTGAGGGTGTCTCAGAATCGAGGGATTTTTTTCTCTTTGCATTTCAATGTTTATTTGACCTGATCCAATGCTAAATGCACACCTTGTTTGAATCAAGGCATTAACAGAGTAACAGGAGCAGTGGTTGCTGTAGTAGTAGTAATAATAACATTGGTAACAATAATAAACATGGCATCACCATTTATTGCAGGTTTAATATATGCCAGTCTCACAATAAGGCTCTTTACACATATTCGTGATATTCTTCATGATGACTTTGGAAAGAGGATAATATGTTAGTTATTAAGAGCATTGGATTTAGAGTTTAAAAAGTTAGGTTTAAATCCCAGCTTTGATCCTTATGGGTATGTGACGTTGGATATGTCACAATTTCATTGAGCTCTCTACAAAAGAATGATATTACTTATCTTTATATAGTAGCTAACTTTCATGAGAACTATGCAAAATACTTTTCTAAGTACTTTATGTATATTAATGTATTTGATCTGCACTGCAAACTCTACGAGGTGTACATACCATTATTATCCACATCTTAAAGGCTAGACACCTGAATTGCAGTTTACCTACCTTATAAATATTTGGAAGGATTAAATACAACTATGCACATAAAGAATTTAGCCTAGTACCTAGGACATAGTATATTCTCAATCATGTGTACTCATTTTTTTAACCCACTATTTCCATTATTTATTTATTTATTTATTTTTAAATTTATTGTGATTTGGGTGAAGATTTACAGAGCAAATTCACTTTCCATACAGCAGTTCACATATACTTTGTCTCATGTCATTGAC